GGATGACCACCAGGCCTCAGCCACCTCAGCCACCACCACCCTGGGACCAGTTTGCGCCCCCAGCCCTGGCCTTGCTCCAGGGGCTTCTGGACCTGGATCCTGAGACGAGGAGCTCCCCACTGGCTGTCCTGGACTTCTTGGGGGATGACTGGGGTTTGCAGGGGAACAGAGAGGGGCCTGGGGTTTTGGGGAGCGTGTCCTATAAGGATGGGGAGGAGGGAGGCTCAAGCCTGGAGGAGTGGACAGACGAGGACGATAATGACAAAAGTGGCGGGAGAACGGGGACAGATGGGGGAGCTCCCTGACCAGGTGACAGGGACAGGTGGCCAGAGCCTGGGCCAAAGGCCCTTCCCCCCAGCCCCTGGGGCCACCTGGATGGAGAGACAGCTGCAGCCGGGAGGACAGAGAGGAACACGCTGCACTCTCCCTGTGGGACACCGGGCTGGGCTGCGCCACTCCTCTTCCAACTGGGGACCCAGGAGTCCAGCTCCTGCTCCTCCTCTCTCAGACCCAGGGTCCAGGCTCCAGCCCTCCCCCTCGAGAACACCTTTTCCTTCTGTCCTGAGTGTGTCTTCTTGAAGGAAGAAGGCGCTTGTCCCCTACCACCACTCTCCCCTGCCTTGTGTGTTTCTGTATTCACAGGACATGCTGAATGGGCATCGTGGGGTTCTTTTTCTTTTCTTTTCTTTTTTTCTTTCTTTTCTTCTTCTTTCTGAGAAGGAGTCTCACTCTGTCACCCAGGCTGGAGTGCATTGGTGTGATCTTGGCTCACTGCAACTTCCACCTCCCAGGTTCAAGCAATTCTCCTGCCTCAGCCTCCTGAGTAGCTGGGACTACACGTGCACCACCACACCTGGCTAATTTTTATATTTTTAGTACAGACGGGGGTCTCACTATGTTGGCCAGGGTGGTCTCGAACTCCTGACTTTAGGTAACCTGCCCGCCTTGGTCTCCCAAAGTCCTGGGATTACAGGCATGAGCCACTGCACCCGGCTGATTTTGTATTTTTAGTGGAGATGGGGTTTCACCATGTTGGCCAGGCTGGTCTTGAGATCCTGACCTCAAATGATCTGCCTGCCTCGGCCTCTCAAAGTGCTGGGATAACAGGTGTGAGCCACCGCACCTGGCCATCATGAAGTTCTGATGGGATTACTCCTCTCCTCTAAGACCTTCGGTGGCTCCCGCTGTCCATGTCACCAGATCTGAACTTTAGGATCTGACACCATGTAAACCTCACCCTCCACCCCTGTCACTTCTCTGGGTGACATCATGGCTGTCATTCATCTTCTCTGGATCTAAATCTACACATGAACACATGAGTGCATACACACACACACACACGTATACTCACACACACACGTATACTCACACACACACACACACACGCACACGAACTCACATACACACACACACACGCACACACATATACACACACGCACATATACACGCACACACACGCACACAGATGCATGCACAGCTGCTGGCAGACACTGGCACACTGTGTGCCCTCCCCCGAGAGCATCTTTCCTCCAGTCCTGTGGCTCCAGGAAGTGCCCCCTGCCCCAAGCCCTCTCTGGCCTCCTGGGAACTTGTATGGGAACGATCCGTGTCTCTTTCTGTCTCCCTTCTCTGACTGTCCAGGCTGGACCTGGTCTTTTCCACATTTAGGTCATTCCGGGTTCTGCTCCCACAGAGCACCACGGATTGTGATTGTCCCAGCTCCATCCGCCTTTCTCAGACCTGTCAATCCTAAGAGCCAGGCCTGCTGCCAATGGGTCTCTTATCTCACCAGGGCCAGTCTGCGTTCCCCTCAGTCCCATGCCACCTCCCAGACCAGACACGGAGCCCGGCTTGTGGAGGTTCATGCCTGCGGGACAGGGATGAATTCAATCTAAATTCATGTCCCCGGCACCCAGCGGAGGGTCAGGAACTGGAGACTGTGTTTGCTATACAGGAATTTATGCTTCTAGACTGAAAAGTGAGCTCATGACATGCGACATAGCACCCTGGGCTCGAGCCGTCGTGGAAACGCTGGTGAAATAACAGTCTGGTGTTGGCCCAACTGTGAGCCTCTTCGTTTTGACAAATATCTTATGGTTTGCATCACGATCCGACACTGGGGGAGGTTGGCGGAGGGTGCACGGGAAGTCTCCGCAGGATCTTAGCAACCATTTTATAAATCTAAAATGATTCCAAAATAAAACGTTTATTTAAAAAAATTAAGTGACTTCACATCAGTCATGGCACTATAAACTGGAAGGGTAGGCCGGCAAGGTGGATCATGTCTGTGATCCCAGCACTTTGGGAGGCTGAGGCAGGTGGATCATCTAAGGTCAGCAGTTCCAGGCCAGCCTGGCCAACATGGTAAAACCTTGTCTCTTTTAAAAATATAAAAATTAGCCAGGCATGTGGTGGGAACCTGTAATCCCAGCTACTCGGGAGGCTGAGGCAGGAGAATCTCTTGAACCCAGGAGGCGGAGATTGCCATGAGCTGAGATCGGGCCACTGCACTCCAGCCTGGGAGACAGAGCAAGACTCTGCCTCAAAAAAATAAAAATAGGCCGGGTGCAGTGCCCGACACCTGTAATCCCAGCACTTTCGGAGGTCGAGGTGGGCGGATCACGAGGTCAGGAGATCGAGACCAGGCTGGCCAACATGGTGAAACCCCATCTCTACTAAAAATACAAAACTTAGCTGGGCATGGTGGCACACACCTGTAGTCCCAGCTACTCAGGAGGCGGAGGCAGGAGAATCGCTTGAACCAGGGAGTCTGAGGTTGCAGTGAGCCGAGATCCTGCCACTGCACTCCAGCCTGGGTGACAGAGAGAGACGCTGTCTCAAAAAAAAAGAGAAAAGAAGAGAGAAAAAGAAAAGAAATTTTTAAAATCCTGAAAGGTGGGTATACCCATCTCAAAAAAAAAAAACAGGGATCTGAAGTCCCAATGTAGCCCAAGGCTTGGGGGGCTTTGGGGTGGGGCTTAATCTTCCTGTGTTTACAGCAGGGAGGTGCTCTCTGGCCTGTATTCCTATTGTGTGTTTTCAAACTATTTTCATTGTTATTCCTCTCTTTGGAATCAGGAGGCCTCCAGTCCTTCCTCCCTCAGACCCAGGAGTCCAGGCCCCGTGTAGAAAATGAAATCATTTCTGGAGCCCACCCTGCGATGACCCCACCCAGCTGCCCCATCAATCCCCCACTGACAGGTCAGACACAAGTGTTTGCAGAGGGGTGTCCAGGGGATCAGATGCTGGGGTCTTGTTTGGGGAAAGAATGAGACAACAAGATTCCAGAATCATGCGGTGTGAGATGACCTCAGACTCAGGGGGGCGGGAAGCAGGTGGTGGAGCAACTGGGAAGAGAGGGGCCTTGAGGGGGGCAGAGGAGGCCTTGGTTCTGTGCCTGAAAACTTCAAATGGGCGGGGGAAGCTAAGGCCTGAACTCCTGGGTCTGAGGGAGAAGGAGCTGGGACCTGGACTCCTGGGTCTGAGGGAGGAGGGGCTGGGGGTCTGGACTCCTGGGTCTAAGGGAGGAGGGGCTGGGGGTCTGGACTCCTGGGTCTGAGGGAGGAGGACTGGGGGTCTG